ATATATATATAAAGAATTGGCAGAAAATATTTATATTTATTTACTTATTTATCTTTTTTCCTCGTAGAAAACATGTTGAGATAAGAAAAAAGAAACAATATATTACTCAGTACCTAGGTTACTGCTAAATGATATTAGTTATAAAATAAACTTCATAACTATGTGATGTTTTCAATCAAAGTGTACTTTTTTAACATTTGATATCGGAAAAAGAATAATTTGAATACTTATTCATATTTATGCCCATCGTCTCTCAGTAATAAATGTACTACTAAATGATATTAATTTTAAGAAAAATCTTTTGCATTTTTAATCAAATGTTTACATTTTTAAAATTTTATAGAATTTTTGTATATCTTTATAAGCTTTCATTTTTGAGGAAAATAATGAAGTAAACTGTAATTGATATTTAAAAATGAAATGTTATTAACAAAGAGTCCAGACTATAAATTTAGACTTTAGGTAATTTTCACAAAATTCACAAAAATCAAATAACAATTAATGCTACGCTTTGAATGAATGTAACACAAACCTATTGTGAACCACCAAAAAATTTCCCATCTGTGGCTTTTCACCCTATTTGATAAATCAGTTTTTCTAAATAAAAATAATAAGTAAAAAAAGAACCTGCTCTATTGCCTCTTAAAAGGTATGTAACAGTTAATCAGTATAGAAATTGTTTAAACATTCTTGTTTTTAAGAACTTGCATTTTAAGAGATTAGTGAAACCACTTACCAAAGAATACTTTAATAATGTTAAAATTTTTAGTCTGAAATCATTTTCTGCTCATTGAATGTATATAAACATAATTTTTTTTAAAAATTTCATAATTACATGCCTTTCTATAAAATGGCTTTTAATTTCGGAAGATCTTCTGTAAAAAACTTTTTGCTATTCTATGTTCTGAAAATGTTACCGAATTCACTAATATGTCGTGTAGCACCTTTTACCATTAACACTATTCATTTTTAAAATAGTTATTAAATAATGTACTAATTGTAAGTTCTCTCCCATTTTTTTTTAAAATTGCAGTTTGGACTAGAATTTTACAAAATAAAATATAACGCTAGAAATATTTTTTGTAAACAGGATGCATTTTTAAAATTATTTTCTGTTTAAATAATGCATTGCAATTTTGAATATTAATGTTATGAATTGAAGTTTCAACAGAAATGAACACAAGTGTTAGAAGAATATATAAAATGGTAGATCATTTGTAACTGAAAATTTGTCTTGTATTTTGTATGGTACAACTATTTTCTAAATAGTTTAGACCAGAGATGACAGACTTGTCGCATGTGTCAGTAGGTTCTAACCTTCAATGAAAACAACATTTAAAAAAAAAAATCCTAATATTAACGGCCATTAAATATAGATTCAGAAATAAATGCAATTTTAGAAGGTATATAATTTTCAGGGTTCGCTCCACAGGGAGAATAAAAAAAAAGAAGCCTGGAAAATACAGGGAATTTAAAAATCACCTAATATAACAGGAGAAATGCAAGGAAATTTGAGTTTTTCGTTAGAAACTGGGAAAATACAGGTAATTTTGTCTCTTATTTTCGTAATTTAAAAAAATAATAACCACTCAAAGTGCAATCTATGGGATATTTAAGGGGATGATATTTCAGTTATATTAAACTATTTTATTTACTATAGCAATATTTGTTTTAAGTATGTCCAGCTGTTTCTTTTTTCTCGAAGTTTTTTCAACAATTATAACTAGTATAGTTTGTCCCATACAGCTCGTACTGGAGCTTCAGTGATTGTGTGTTTCCTCTTAATATATTGTGTTTAATATAGAAAACACAGGGACGTAATATTTTGTGTATAATATTATGAGACACACTTGGGAAAACACAGGGAATTGTTTTTTCCAGATTTGATATGAGTGGTAACCCCGATTTTCCAAAATGATTTCTATCTCTCTTTTATGAAAGTCCATATTGTATTAGAAATTGACTTTTACTTCAAAATTACTAAAGCAAAAACATTTTTAAGTAAATTTGCACAACGTTTGAGTCTTCATTCGCTTGTTTGCGAGTGTTCTCATAAAGGAATTTCATTTAATCAATTGTAAGAAACCACCTTGAATCTTGTGGTTGTTAAAGACCCAAATGTAAACGATGTGGCTGATAAGATTCACCTACAATTTCTCTTTTGGAATTAAATGTGTGTAATTACAGGGATGAATGTATTTTGAAAAATTAAATGCTTATTTAATGAAGCATTTTAAAGATAGTGCCATTTTTTAAGCAAATAAATAATGCATTTAACATTAGATTTTGAATTGTATTGTTATATTGATTTTTTTCTTATAATACAGTGTTGCCACTCCTCAGGGGGGAAACCTGGAAAATCACCTAAAATAACAGGAAAAATGCAATGAATTTTAAGTTTTTCTTTACAAACTGCGAAGATATTTTTTCCATCTTTTTAAAAAGGGTAACCACTAAAAGTGCAATCTATAGCATATTTAAAGATGATATTTCAGCTGTACTAAACTATATAATTTAATATAGCATTATTTGTTTTAAATATGTTCTTCTGTGCCTCTTTTCTCTAAGTTTTTCCATCATTTAAAACTAGTATAGTTAGATCACTATGGCTCAGACAAGAGCACAGTGATTGTTGTGTTTCCTCTTACTATATATTGTGTATAATATGTACAGGGAAAACACAGGGACTTTTTTTTTTCTCCAGATTTGAGTGGCAAATCTGTTATAAGAAATTAAAAATATGTAACAATAAGAACGTTAATTTTATTTTATCACTTACTGCAAACCATTTAAGATACTTAATATTAAATTGATGTGTTTTTATAATACTGTTTATTCGATATCCTTTTAAAATAACTAAATAGCAGAAAAAGTTTCACAATGTAATTTTATAGTTCTAAAATCAAAGCAGTTGTTATAAGATTATTAATAAAAAAGAAATATATCAAGTGTTACGTTGGGCACTTAATAATCACCTGTAGTTTAGCTGACAAACTAATCAAAAAAGGTTTATCATCTCTGGAATATACCTAACATTTTTGCAATTTAATATTAGTTCATGTCAAAAATTCATCAAAATTTAAATGTAACCAAGATACATCAGATAAAAAAGAAACAATGAGTCAAAAAATAAATTCATAACAAAGTGTTTAATTTTTTTAAAAAATTACTTAAATTTTCTGGAATGAGCTGAAAAAAAGCAAAATTCATTACTGAACATTTCTCGCTTTTTTTCGATTTGTATTTTTAATTTCCTTAGTTCTACAGTCGACTTCAATGTTTATCTGCTAGTTTTCATTAATATTTTAAAAATTATTTGTTCTTTTTGCTCATAACTTATTATTTAAAAATTAAAATGATAAATAATTAAATGTTGTTGTGTTATATAATGTATTGAATGGTATGTTGAAATTCTGTTATAGGGATGGTCGTTATGTCGTATCTGGGAACACTAATGGTGTGATAAGTGTATGGGATACATGGAAAGAGGCTAACACTGAAACTTTCTCGCAGGATTTCTCTGTTCTAGAACCAACACAGTTCTTTCTTGCTCACAATGATTGTGTCAATGGAATTAGGTATCTTTTTCTTTTCTCTCTCTCCCCAATATATAGTCTCTGGTCAAATTATTAGACCCACTCTAAGATTCCATGTAAAATCTTAATTATCAGGTGATACTCTATACAGCTTTATTGTTTTTACGAGACTGTTTGCACTTGTTTACGTTTGAGTATCAATGAAATAAATTAGGTGATATATAGAGTATAAATTCGAGGATATATTATATAAATATGGAATATTTATTATATCAGGTATTATATTAATATATTATAATATTTTGATCAAATTATTAGACACACTGTAGTTTTTTAATAACTACATGATATGCACTAGTTTATAGGCAATACTTTTATATTTAAACATACATGTAATGGGTGTTTATTCAAGAGATTTTTTATATACTCCCTGTTTGTATTTATTTTTAACTGATTGCATTACAATGTTAACCAATTAAAACCCGAACATAAACAACGGCAAACCGGTTTCAGTCACGTAGAAGCAATACAGCTGTATAGTATCACCTGATAATTAAGATTTTACATGGAATCTTATAGTGCGTCTAATAATTTGGCCAGGAACTATATGTTGAAACTTTGAAATAATTTAAGAGCTAACTTCGGATTGAAATTTAATTATTTGTTTCAGGGGTGTTATTATCTGTTTAGTTTTAAGACACTACTTCATGGTGCGTAGTGTTTTTAAAAGTGCTTATTTTTGATTTTCCTTTCTTAAAAACCCTTAAAGCTACTTTTTTCATGGGGTGTTTTGAAAAAGTGCTTAATTTTGCCTTTACAAAAATGAGATTTTTTTTCTTTCTTTACCATATCGATTTTCTCCACGTATTATACAAAAGCGTGCTTTTCACTTTGTTCTATTCAACATTATTCTCAATTCATTCAACTACTATCAATTTTGGTGTACTGTTGATTCATAGCGCATAAAAACACCAATCATTTTACAAGTTTGATTAAATACTTGCGAGTCCGCATGTGCGTCTACTGAGCTGGGTTCGGTGAGATTCTTGCACTCTTGTGGTGCAACTCTGTTTCATTTTGCAAGATATTCTCAATTCCAGGCTTCCTTTTCCACCCTCTGAAATCGAACCGAAAAATGTCTCGAACTTTTTATCCTTGCTAATATAATCAAGAAAGGAGTTCTTTGTCAGAAACTAGTTATTTTGTTATGATCATGTGAAGTCTTTGAAAATTATCTTTCATTTTGTTAATGTATATAGTTCTTAAAAAGTACTTAAAAAGGTGCTTATTTTTGGTTGAAGGATTTGGCTGTGTACCCTGTACTTGTATCATGCATAATATCCAAACCATAACAAATGATTTCACAAAGGTTTTTTTCCTCTCTTGATCACATTAAGAGAATCAACATGCCTTACTGTTCTAACTAATACTAAATATTTTATTTATGTTTTACAGATAAACATTTCTAAATGTAATCAGCTAAGCCTTCAATCCGTCATATGTATATTCTGGTTACTCTGAATTGTATTAATTGCTAGAAAACACAAATCTCAAAATATCATTCAGACAGTAAAAATTAGTTTATAATAAATTCAGTATCTATATAAATTCACAAATAAGATAATTATATAAATTTGCAAATTCTTTTGTAAACAGCAGCAGTTTAAATGGAGTTTTTTTTCACAACAAAGTTGATTAAATAATCTTTGTTTCATTTTCGTGATTCTTTGAATTCGTTTATTGAATAGTTTTATTAAATTATTTTTTTCTTCTTTAATTATGCTAATGTGCAGTTAAATCTTAATTAGTGAAATTTCTTTTCAATATTGCAAAACAATGAAATGCTCTTTAGGTATTTTTAAAACATTTTTAACATGATCATTAATTGTATATTTAGCACAATAATGATGTTTACTTTTGAGTAGGGTAAATTATGTCCTTTGATAATTTTCTTATTTTATAACAATATATTTCTTTTAAATAATTTAAGTTACACATGTTTTAAAATTTCTTTTTTTTTGGGGAGGGGGGGGGAATAAAATTGTAAGGGCAAGAAATCTTTAGGTCTTTTATAAGCTTTTTCCATTTGAGGAAAATAGAGTTTTCTCAGAATTCCTTTATTGCAATCTGTTATAACTGTTTTTGAAAAATGAATGCACAGATCTTATAGCAAGATTGAATACTACTTCTAGAAATAAATTGACTAGACATTGTGCAATTTTTTTTCTTAAAGTGCAATTAATTTTATAAAGCAGTCACAGCATAATACAATCACAATACAACATAATCTAATCACAACAGTTTTAATAACATTATAATTTAATTTTAAATAAATTTTTTTGTGCCAAAAATTAAAAAAAAAATTTAAATCCATTGTTAAATGATTTAATAAAGCGATGATTCTATTTGCAAAAGCGTGCTAAATTTTAATAAGATATCGGCATATTAATTTTTGCTAAATTGCTATGTTTCTAGGATACATTTTTTTCTATGGGTTTCAAATCAAGTTCTTCGATTTATATTAGACATTTTGAGATGAAAATAAGATATTATTGGTATGTTTCTCTTCCGTATGTTTAACCCCTTACCAATGTTGCCCGAATCTAGTTCGGGCAACTACGACTTGCAAAATTTGTGATGCCCGAACTCACTTCGGGGAGGAGAAAAATTTTAAATTTAAATTTTCAATTTAAAATGTTTCTATTTTGTGAAGCCCGAGCTGAGTTAGTTTCTACTTTAGGATACTTAATTCAAAATTTTCCTAATAGATGGCATTAGTAGTCCTAGTTTTTCACCGATTGCAACTTCCGTCGAGGGCAAAGAGTGGGATATGGGCTTGTGTGCAGTACCGTGTTTTGGGATATATCAGATTTGTAAAATTTATGTATTGAAAATCATATTGTTGTGTTTTTATATTATATTACACTAGTTATGTTATATTTAGATTCAAAATATTGTTTCATTTGCTCTAATTGTGTATGTAAAAATGTTTCATGTGTATGTAAAAATTATAAATACGGTAGTCATTGCATTAAAAATTTTGTTTTTGTAATAAAAAACCATTTTCTAACTTTTATAATAATATAAAGAGCAAAATGAAACAGTTAAAATTTTTTTAAACATTTTTCTGAAATATATGTCACTGTTAAGGGGTTAAAGTTTGTACGAAGTAATTCTTTTAGTGTAAATAAATATTTAAAGGCCCTTAAAACTTATGTATACCTTTAAATACAAGGATGTGTAATATTTTTAAGTGATCGAATATGTTTTCTTTTTCAGTATAAATCCTACATTTCCACTCCTTTGTTCATCGTCTGGTCAGAGGAAGGTCCCTCCACTCCTTCCAGGTGATGAGGATGATGACATGTTTGCATCTAAAACTGAAAAATCAGACAATTCTCTGCGGCTCTGGTGGATAGGAAAAAATTCTTAATTAGTAGTTATTTCAATCTTCTTTAATTAGTTTGTTTTTAACAATTAATAAAAATTTCTTTTCTATATGTGTAGCTCTTTCTCCTGCATTGCATTTTCAATGTACGTAATTTTAGTTTATTTTGATGAGAAACATAAAATCCCCTATGCAGAATCACGGCGACATTGTCGCAGAACGTTGCCAAATTCTTGTAGAAAGATTTTTCTTTTGGGAAGTAAAAAAATTTGGATGTTTTTTCTGCAGAAATTTAGGAAAGTTTTATCTTTGCTTCAGAATTATATTTAAAAGTTGCCTTTCTCGTGCATCGGAGTGGCAAAAAATGCTTGTGGTTTTTTTTAGTCTCGGTTAATAATAATGAAAAATAAAGAATAATGAAGTAAAAAAGATTTGTTTTCTTTTCATCAGAAATTTTAGAATGATTTTAATTTTTCTTCAGAATTAGAGTGGAAAAAATGCTTGTTATTTTTCTATTCTCATTTGATAATAAGGAAAGAATAATAAAGTAAAACATTTGGTTTTCTTTTCTGCAGAATACCCTGCATAGAACATACCTTTTCTGCAGANTTTTCAGTAGAAATTTTAGAATGATTTTATCTTTTCTTCACAATTAGAGTGGAAAAAATGCTTGTGATTTTTCTATTCTCATTTGATAATAAGGAAAGAATAATAAAGTAAAACATTTGGTTTTCTTTTCTGCAGAAATTTTTGTTCTACTTTTTTTATGCTGTCATTATTATTAATTTCTACATAGTTTTTGAAATCAATATTTTTAATTTGATATTATTTATTGCAACAACCGAAACTCAAAATGAAAACACGCATTTAGTAACCCTTTTCATCATCTGATTTGCGTGATTTTGTCGTCATTCTTTTTTNTTTTTTTTTTTTTTTTTTTTTTTTTTTTTTTTTTTTTTTTTTTTTTTGGTAACTACTGTTACGGATTTCAAGATTTTGTAATTATTTTTTTAATGTTATCATAATTTAAAAAATGCAAAAGAGGAAATAATTAGCGTGTTTACCCCCTACAAAATGCAAGAATATTGCCCATAATATTAGAATAAAAAAATATTACATGTTTAATTAAAAAATTATTTTATTTGATCCGAAAAATATATATTTGAAGTTGACACTTCTGTTACTTTAATTTAGTAACATGTATATTTGTTATTTATAAAGGTATCTTGCAGAAAGATATTAGTATTAGAGAGGTATGTCGCAGAAAACCTGATAATATTCTGCCACAGGGCATAAAATATTCTTAGAAATTGAAATAAATAAATTTAAGATTTTTTTTTTCAGTGCGGTTATTAGGTGGTGTTATTTGGAGAAGTTTTTAATTAAAATCCATAATTTGTAGAAGAAAACTATTTTCTTGTTATAAAAATATTCATAGCATTTTCTTCCAAGCATATTATAAAGATGATAAATTCAATTTTTTAAAATTTTTGTTTCTGTCTGAGAATAAAGACGGAGAAATGAAGAAAGTGTTTTCACTCTTAACACACCAAAATTTGTGCATGGAATGCATATAAACAGGGTGTCCGCTAACCTGGAAAGTCATGAATTTCGGTATTGAACGAAATTTGTCATGGATTTAGGTCGCCAAAAAATCTATTTTTTGAAAATGGATTCGGCCAATTTCACGGTGTTCCGAATATCTGATTTTGTAGCAAAATCCTCACTCAGTCATATTTTGTTAAAATCTAAATTTTTTTTTATCATGTTCTTTAAAAATTATTGTGTTCTTTCAAGAAGTGAAAGAAAAAACATAATTTCTAGAGCGAATTATCTTTTAAACATCTGTGAATTCAGAATTTTTATTATTATTTATTATTTTTATTTCATCAATTTAAAATTCTAGCTGAAGCAATCTAGTGATAGGCGAATTTTTTTAATTCCGAAATGAGAACAGAAAAATCAGAAGTATTTCTTTCCTTTCCAATGAACAAGAAAAGTATCTTTAGAACATAATTCTGCAGAAAAAAAGAAGAAAAAATTATTTGCTTTAGTATTTTTTTCAGCTATTTTATTGCTTCAACTCTTTCTTTAAATTTAAAATCTATAAATATGAGGATGCAGAGTATAACAGTTTCGATTATACCTATCATTGCAATTAATGTTACTAAAATGTTTTTTTAAATTTATTGTTGTGTTTTTGTGGGAGAAAATAGTAACTTCGTTAAGTCATGAAAAATTCCTGGAATTAGTCATGGATTTAAGAATCTAAAATGTAGCAGATACCTTGTATAAAACAAAATATAGTGTGTCTCCTTGCACATGTAATTTTTAACAGTTAAAGTAGTAATACATAATAATAATAAGGAAAAATTGGGCAGCTACTGTTGCAGATAAATTTAGGTTTTGTTGGCAAAATTAAACCAAACTTTAAAAAGAAGCGAAGTTTATACCTATTTTATTTCTTTATTGAAATTTGATCAGTTAATATTATTTTTTGTTAATATGAAATTGTAATAAATCTGCTCAACGTCTCATTTTTAATAAACTAGTAACATGCATACTTTCCAGTTTTCTGTAGCACTTTGTTTCCTTAGCAAAATGTTGTTTTAAATTATCTAATGAACGTTTTGTATAAATGAAGAATAAGATTTTATTTTCTATTACTATATTTTGGAAAACATCCCCTGACTTCTAGATTTTAAACAGCTGAAACAGAAATTTTGGTTAAGAATCACAGTGTTGGATATTTGACATTTCTTATTTTGTAGAAATTTTTTAAAATATGTTCTTTACTAAAACCGTTGGACGTATGTTTTTTTTTTTTTCCGAAACAAAATTTGTTTTTCAAATGTTTTGATGGATGAAAATGGAAGATCTTCTACAATTTAAAAAAAAAAAAAAAAACACATCTTTTTACATGCAGTAATACTTTTTTTGTATGAGTGAAACTGATGCACTGATGTGAACTGACCATTATTTTGTGTTCTATTACTTGCACACTACCTATCAAGACATAAATATTTCAATGGTTCTTTGCATATAGGGTCAAAAATCTTTAAAATGAGGCTTATTTTCTTAAATTTTGACCATCAATATTACTTAAATCAACTGTGAACACATAGGTGTATATTTCTGCAAATGCATACTAATAAGTAGCACCTAAAAAAATCCACAAGTGTACATTTGGCTTGACCTTAAAATTGGTCCTTAGTAAAAAATCAGGATTCTGATTGTAATGCTGGCAAGATTGAGGCATAAGCATTTCTATATATTGATTGTTTGTTGAATTTTCATTTTTTTTACTTTCATGTAATTTTTTAGCTGAGCATTGTTACCACATAATCCAAAAGAAAACTGGGGTTAGTTTACCTATCTTTCACAAACTTATCTAAGTTTGTACTTATGTAGTTGACACAAAAGTGTCAATACAGCAAGTATGCAATACAGAATTGAGTACTGACATTTCTGGTCATGGCTTAACCATTCCTGATGAATATTGAACAAAACATTCTGTAACATGCAAGCAAGAGATTTTGCCGCCTAGGAAACAAAGATAAGTTATTCATTTATCTTTATAAAATTCAATGAATTCAACATATCTATCTGCATAGTTTTTCAAACTCCATCTGCGGAAAAATGATGAGACAAATTTTTCGAACTGCTTGAGTCTATTACGCACCAACCTATATATTCTCTCTCTCTTTTTTTAAATTATTCAAACTAATAGAGAATAAACTGAAGCGATTATAACGGCAATCTAATAATTTAATGTGTTCTTACTATAGATATAATTTATAAAAATAAGTACACTTTTTCAACTGTTCTCTCTTATATTTTTTGCTCAGTTTACCTATTCTATGAAAGCATTTCCACAAAGTTGACTTTAGATGACTTTTTTTTCCTTCGGGGTAACTTCCCTATTTTTAAACTTTTATTAAAAGAATATTTTGTTAAATGAAACTGAATTTTTGTCAAATGAAATGAAATTCAGAAAAATATGAATTCAAGAGTTTAGTCTAAAAAGAAATTCTGTAAACTTTTTTTTGCTCTCTAACTGATAGAAAAAAGCATGTAAGAAAATTTTACAAGAATGTGTAAACTAGTCACAATCTTCCTAATAGACAGTATTGTAATAATTGAAAAACTACTGCCATAATCCATATTCTATCAAGATATCAATATCTTTGGACACTATTTAGAAGTGTAAAAGCATTGAGATTATCGAAAAACAGTTGTCGTAACTTCTGTTTAGTAACACGGTCATATCTTTTATGAAACAGTATCAGATCAGTTTAATAAAAGTATTGCATTTATAAAAAAAATAGCAACTCATCACAATGTCCCTATCACTAGATATCATTTAGAAATGAGAAGTATTGTAGTTATATCAATGTCAATATCATTAGGTAGCAAACAGTGAAAAGTATTCTGGTTATCCTGAAGTCAGTATCTGTGAATATCATATAATAGCGAAATGATATCAGTGCTTATGATATCAGTGTCAGTAAATATCATATAACAGGGTTGAAACAGAAAAAAATTAACAATACGGTTGCTTTTAGTAGCCTAAAGCATAAAAATAGTTGCCGAAAATTATGAAAATAGTTGTCTAAATACGAACAAAAATATGACTAAAATTGTATTAAATGACTGANTAAGATTATCGAAAAACAGTTGTCGTAACTTCTGTTTAGTAACGCTGTCATATTTTTTATGAAACAGTGTCAGTTTCATAAAAGTATTGCATTTATAAAAAAAATAACAAACTCATCACAATATCTACTATCACTAGATATCATTTAACAATGAGAAGTATTGTACTTATATCAATGTCAATATCATTAGGTAGCAAACAGTGAAAAGTATTCTGGTTATCCTGAAGTCAGTATCTGTGAATATCGTATAAAAGCGAAATGATATCAGTGTCAGTAAATATCATATAACAGGGTTGAAACAGAAAAAAATTAACGATATGGTTGCTTTAATAGCCTAAAGCATGAAAATAGTTGCCAAAAATTATGAAAATAGTTGTTTAAATATGAACAAAAATATGACTAAAATTATATTAAATCACTTAACTGTCATGATTCATTTAGTCAAGTTGGTGGCAAATATAATTTTCATATAAACATTAGTGTTGTAACGCTAAATTTTTATATAAAAAAATTAGTATATTTGCAGAAAATTGAATACTTTTAATTACTAGAAATCATTCAAATTTTTTTTTTCTATAATTAAACATACTTTTTCTAAAAAAAATTTCCGTTTAACCAATAATTGATTTAGTAAATATATTTATACATATATATTGTGAAAAGTGATTATTAAAATTCGAAATTGTTTTTTTTAAAATCATGTAGAATTTCGATGAAAAGGCGATCGAGAAACAAAATAGATTTACAATGGAATCTGTAAAAAGTGATTACTCTAATTTGCAATTCAAAATTTTTATTTTTTAAGGAAAAAAAAATTTATTGCTGCCTTGGACAGCAGGTTGTCAACCCAATTTGTGCTAAAAAAAGAAAAAAAAAACATCGCTAGGAGCACAGAAAAGTCTCCTTTTTCCGAAAATTGTTGCTTTTTTTTATAGCCTTTTCAGGTAAAAAAAGTTGCCATAGTCGCCTCAGGTCGAAAATCGTTACAAATGGACGTGATGCCAGTGGTCAATTCTGGAAAGACGAGAATTTAGCATAAATCTAATTAAACTCAGGCTGCAATTAAGTTTAAATTCAATTTACAGTAAAAATTCTTGAGCAAATTTATAAATCTCTCTGCTGGCGGGAATTTAACACAAAGTTTCTACAAATACCTAAAAAAATACTTTTTGCGCCCGAATCTGGCGATTGTGGGCATTCATGTTGTTGACTGAACCAATGTAACACCAAAAGAAAATTAAAAAAAAAAAAAACTGTGTCTAGTTGTTTAAAATTAAGTGTATAAAATTAAAATTGGATGGCTACTTGATAATATGCTTAATAAATGGCAGGAATAGATAAGTTACGGTGCTGTCAAAGAGATTTTTAGAAAAAGCATTTGGGTGTTCTAATGCATGTTCAGAAAAGTAACTTATTATTTTAACAGAACGCTATTCTCCTAACAGATAATAGATTAAAGTGAGTAATTTATTTATCCTTAAATAATTTTCTAAGTACTATTTAAGTATTTTCTTTCATGTTTTTTCAACAAAATAGCATTTTCTGACCTGTGGAATATAGGATTGTCCAAAAAACGTAAAATACCCAACTTTGATAGTTTTTCTTTTAAATTCATTGTTTATAATAATCTTATGTCCTGATATTAAATGAAACATTTTTTGATTTTATTTAAATAGAAAAGTATATTGCATAAGGAAGGAATTATTAGTTCATAACACATGAAATATAAATAGAAATCCAAATTAACTGCTGTTAAGGTTGCTTCCACATTTTCAGAAATGTCTTGGTTTCAGTGGATATCATATAACAGGGAAATGTGGCTCATTGAAAAAAAAAAACCTGTTACAGCCCATATTTAATCACAACCTAAATATCTTTATATAGCAGTGGAACAGCACTTACAGGGTATCAGCAAATCACTGACAGATTTCAAAACAAAATTAAAAATCTTAGAAATAAAGGGCTTCAGAAAAATGAAGCAAGAGATAAAAATATGCAGAAAATTTGGAATTAAGTTAAAAAAATTGTCGACAGATGACATTGCAAGCCATCAATGAGCTAAGCTATCAGTTTTAGCGTTAAAACATGAATGGAGTTCTTAATACAGATTTAGGAAGTTTAAGCCGTGTGTTGAACAACTTATATTTCTGGTACTGGAATATCACAATTTGATTACAGTTATATGGCATTTGTATTCTCTTAAGAAATTCAGTATAGTGCCATCTGATGGCAACTTTTGTAAACAAAAATCCAAAATTTCAGCTTACAGCTTTCACAATGGACATACAATTTGTTTAATTCTTCTACCATCCTTCGTTTCCAAGATTTTTAATTTTGAAATCTTCCACTGGACACGCTGCAAAAGTATTTATGCCTTAGAGAATAGAAATTAAGTAACACAAGACGAAAAAAGAATGAGTCGTGATTCTAATATTTTGGTGCTCTTTAATGCCATTTTTTTTGACAGAAGGATGATTACAGATGAAGGACTGTACAGGAAGGATGTCTACGCTGTAGAATTTTTCATCTGCGTGTAATATATAAAAGTCATACAAAGTTTCCATATGGTACAAGAGACTGGACGCAAATGTCTCTACGCGCGGCTATAACGAATGGGCCCAAACCGAGTTTCTTTAAGACGCCAAACCGAGGTATGAAAGGCTACGAGTCTCACCATCCATATTTTATTTATTCTTTTTTGTCTTAGTAAGAAAATAACTTTTTTTTTGTTGTTACCCTTTATCATATTAATTATTTAATTATATTATATTTTTTTGTCTTTTCATAGTTGGAGGCATTGATGGTCCTTCTCAGCAAGTAGCTGATATTAAGTTAAGTTGAACACTACAGTAAAATTTGTTTAAGAACGCTAAGAACTCACCAATAAGGAACTAAACATAGAACAATACCATACGATGTAAATTGCATAGGAGCTCCATCTGGTGGATGCTTTCTGTAAGATCATTTTGCATAGGTGAATGCTTTGAGCAAGGGAACTGTTCGATCTGCGCAAGGGCAGACAAACAATTGCGTTGCAAGCCAATGAGGAATATAGAGTTTTTAATTAAACACACTTTCACAAACACAACTTTGGATTCAACACTCATACTAACGATTGCTTCTTAACATTACATCTTAGTAAACCTCGTTAGGCTTAAGTTGAGCAAACACTTTTTGGGACCTTTTTGCTAGAATTAGAAACATTTATAAATATACTTTTTTTTGATTATTAGAGGCAACCATCGTGAATAGACACGGATTACGTTATACTTTGCACTTATTTTGACCCCTATTTTGCACCTCATTTTTTATATATTCTGGAACAGTACTTGTATATGTTGCTTGTGTGACGGTTTTTGGCGCTAGAATGTTCCGGATTTGGGCTCCTAAGCACACTTTTCTAAATGATACGAACAATACAGTTGGTGGAGTTCCGGCTTTTTTTTATTTTTGTTTGTTTGTTTGTTTTTGATGTAATAGATATATAATGCATATATAGAATTCTCTTCTGTATTTATGTACAACGGTCCACGGACTATGTACAGCGAGTCGCTGTCCCGTCCGTCTTCTCGTTCCACAGATCCTGCATCCGGGCTGCTCCTTGGCAGCGAAACCAACACATTTTTGTTTAAAATTTTTTTATAAAATTCTCGTTGCTGACTGTCTTGTGGAGGGTTCGATGCTGGAATTTGTCGCTGCTCCACATCTCCATATGCGCCCTATATAAAACAAAAAGTCATTACTACAAATATGCAATCTATATGAATAAAAGGGCATTTTCAAAAAGGAGAAACATATCTAAACTTTAGCCTGGATTTAAATTTTCTTTTTAGAAAAAAAGTTAAAGTACTTAAAATGTATTTATTAATCTTAAAATAGTTTTTCAAGCACTTTATTTTATTAGGTTTTTATGAAATATTTCTGTAACTAAATGCCATTTTCTTATAAGTTTAAATATAGGATTCTCCAAAAGAATCTAATGTATGCAACACTTATAGTTTTTCCAACAAATTTATTGTTTAAGATAATTCTAAAATTTCAATGAAAAAATCTATTATAAAGTTAATTTTATTTTAAATAGTATATTACATAGGTTAGTATAACAATTATTTTAATAGAATTCAGAATTAACTACTGTTAATGTTATCTTTTCCAACTTAAGAGAAGTGTCCTATTACATGATGTTATAGGAATAAAGAAAGTTAAAGTTTGGATATTTGTTCCCTATGGGAATAATAATGAAATAACAAAACATTCGAATAAAAAAGGGTCACTCAAGTTCATAAATACCATTATAGGTTGTTGTAGTTCATTTACGTCGCACTGGAGCTGCGCAATGGGCTACTGGCGACGGTCTGGGAACCATCCCTGAGGATGATCCGAAGACATGCCATCACAATTTTGATCCTCTGCAGAGGAGATGGCACCCAAGCTTCGATAGCTGGACGACCTGCACGCGAAATCGAACACAGACCTGCCAACTCTCCTGCTTNTGGGAAACATCCCTGAGGATGATCCGAAGACATGCCATCACAATTTTGATCCTCTGCAGAGGAGATGGCACCCAAGCTTCGATAGCTGGACGACCTGCACGCGAAATCGAACAGTTTAAGGTAACGAAGACCAATACCGCACACCCTCGGTCGCTACGCAGACTAATCCAAGTGGTCACCCACCCACACACTGACCGCATCCAGTGATGTTTGACTTCGGTGATCTGGTGGGAACTATGTCTTAACGATCAGTCCACTGCGGGACATTTATTGGATTAAAAAAAATGTCAGTGCATTGAACAAGGTCAATGAATGGCAATGTCATCTCTGTACTGTACAGGAAAAAAGAAAGAAGATATCACTATAAATGTGTCCTGTATGAAAAAAAGTTAACACTAATAGGCATGCACCTTTCATATACAAAAAAGATATCAGTATATACGTGCTCTTAAGAATAAGAAGGAATTATATCAGTAAATGTTAAAATAAAAGCTTTACAAACTTATTATAGTTTTATAGAAAGTTATTTTTTTTATAACCGTTTTTTCGACCCAATTTTTTTGAGTTTACAACAACCAAAGTTCAACTCCGTACCCTTGTAATTTTGAGCCCAATCCAGAAGACAAGGGAACTCTTGGATCAGGTATTGTGAAAAGTTTAGAGGACTTTCTGATGAAACTAACCCGTATTTGCGTTACATTTAGAGGAAAACCACGAAAACGTTCCAAGGTTAGCCTGGCGGGAAGCAAACTCTAATCCATGATCCGTCTACCACTGAGGATATTTTACTTCAGCACTGTGGTCAGTTCGAGCCGGATGCGGAATTCGTATCTAGCCATCGCTGGGATTCGAACCCGGTCAACTCATTTGAAGGTGGACGCTCTATACCCAGAGCCACAAGTCTATTGTTAGTTGCTCCCCATGTACGATGTACTAATTTATATCATGAAGAAATTTTACTTACTGAAGAACATAATATCTGAAAACTTTTACTCTCTCCTGTATATAAGTATATTTGATACTTTATAAAGCAGTTCGTGTTACCAAAATTACTTTTGCATTGTTGCTGTCACTAATAATATTGTGATACGGTGCTCCGAAACGAGCAACTATCTTTGCTCATATAATTTTGCTTTTTAGTACATTAGTTATGTTTTTAAAATTTTATTTACTATTAAATTGATTTTAAAATATTAAGTTTTTTTTAAAAACATCTTTCAAAAACATTACCATAAACAAAATAAAAACATAGTTTTAAATAACTTTAGGAATATTACCTGACATAATGAATTTAAAGTAATTAAATATTATCGAGCGTATAATATTTGGTTAATGATAGAGCTGAAAGCTAGCGAGCACCACTGGAAGCATTTACATAAAAAGTTTCGTCTACAGTTTAATTTCTAACAATGCCTAAATAATAGAGAAAAATTAATTTTTAACGTCTTTCCCGAACGGAGTAGTTGAAATTTTCGTGCGATTTTTAGGATCGGGGGTTAAAATTTACCCTTTCATCAACTGTCTAAATTTCTAACACAAACGGTTCTTGAGTTATAAGCGGAACACACTTTATTTTATTAACTAGATACCTTCAGCCACCAGACTCACTCAACTCTTGGGGGAAAAAACAAAACATGTTAGTTAGAATCACTGTCTACAGTACGCTAATCACACGATAATTACAAAACATCTAACGAATCCTTTTTTAAATTTTTTTTTTTATTATTTCATTATTAGAGCGTAGACCAATTTCGAGACTTCTATCCTTTGTGAAACGTGCTGTTAAGCGTCACGGAGAATTAGGCTGATTACTCCCATAATAACTAAATATTGAAATAAAACTTTTTTATGTAATATATTTGATAACGAGCACATTGTCCAGCTTTGAGGCTACTTTCTTGGTAAAAACATGTTAATTATTACTGTCAACTCTTTTTTTTGTAAATAATAATTTCGTAAAGAATACTTGATTCGAAACTGAGATTTCAAGCTCTTGATTCTTTTCAAATTGCGGTATCATTCTAACTTAACAGATTCTTGCAGTAACAGATTTTGCGTTATGCAAACACTTACCTTGATACATTTTAAATATTGCGGTAACATTTTAAAATAATAGATTCTTGCGGTTAATGATTTCACGTTATGCAAAATATTTTTCAGCGACATTTAACATTTTTAAATTTTAAAAACATCCGAGATCACAAAAACATACTAAACAACAAGTTTTGTAGAAAAATAGCAACATACCGCTAAAATCAAACAGGTATGCAAAGGGAGTTTGTTCTACAGAAAACGATGTAAGAGCTCATTTTCATTCACAAAAGAAAAGAAAAAACTGATTTTAAATTTTTAAAGCTAATTTCTTTTACAAACAATATGACCGTCAATTACAACTGACTGTGGAACGAAAATTATCGTTTTAGTATGAATGTTAGAAAATGACATATGAACACGAGGTTTCAGATAACTTTAGAAAGACAAATTTGATAAAAAAAAGTGTGGTAATCCGCCTAACGCTACCTCGATCATGTTCATTATTCAGATATACCTGCATAACAAATGAAAAATAATCAACTATTAGAGAGTGTACAATAAAGAACTTTTTTTGAATACAGCTATAAGCAATGCTTTGTTTAAAATATTTGACAAAACTGGATTATCTAAAGTTGCTAAATTTAAAACATTAGAAAATTCCATTTTTTGAATGTCTGAATTAAAATTGTAATTAAAAAATCGAAAATCGCGCTTTGTAATTTGTTTATAACGAAAATCATTATTCTTCATAATGAATGTTGTATTATTAGAGCTTATGGTAGGCTCGCAATCCATTATTGACTTCTACCGGTCAATGTTGACGATCGCATAGTCGCTTTGGTAAATGTTCGAAGGTCTTGTTAAGTGCCACTGCCCGGGATACATTTACTCGATATACGCTACACTGTTGTTTTTTTTAAGGTTCAGTGCCACTGCCCAATTGCATTTAACAAGTACTCGGAACACTGATGTTTCTCTTAATTTATCCTCAGCAGATATTAAAATATCGAGTCAATATAACAAGATCAACTAATAAATATATCGGACATTCACCAAAGCGTGATTGTTGACATTCACAGGTGAAAGTCGACATTCTCTTGATTTAGGTCATTAAGGGTAACATATAGATATGATATTTTTCATTGTTTCATGATTTGTAGTACTGTTAAAAATTTAGCTTTAAAATAATGGTCAAATAATTCTTTTTCCCGTATTTTAACGTTGATTCTTTTATGAAGTTTATGTTGGTGATTAAATAAAATTAAAATGTTTGCAGTAAATCTAAATGAAATGAAACAAGAAGTAGCGACTTATTCAAAAGATAAGAGTTTCCGTCGTGCTAAATTTACCGTTTAGAATAAGTAAAAAAAAAAGAAGAAAATTAACTATCAACTACTTTAATTTCTTTTCGTGTCAGAAGTAGTTAAAATGTTTTGAAAGTTTCATTACTTCGATTTGTTTGGGCCTTTGATTTCCTTTCAATAAAGTCTATTAAAGACTATTCTTTAAATTTTTTTTCTCCACGCATGACGGCACGTGGGGAAAAAATTAGCAAAGGGGGGGATCTCTTTTTCTTTCTGTATTCATTCCGTTTATATTTGTATACGGGCTGGGATAGCCTGTTCGGTAGGACGCTGGGCCCATGTTCGTGGGTTTGAACCCCGAGGGTGGAAGACTCCCAGTGTAATAAATGGTGACAAATGCACGTTAAATTTGTCTAGTCGCAAAATCCTCCATGTTCCCATAGCAAATCAATACCTCTGGGGGTAATGGATTGGAGATCGATCGCTCTTTGATTCAGGTCAAAATTACGATCTGTGGATGAATGAATGGTTGTATGAATGGGTTCGCCCTATAAACGGGAGTGACTTTTGGGTGTGGCAGAAGTCGAATTCTTAGCCATAGATGGCGCCACTGGAAAACAGGAACAATCGCACCCCCTGCCAAAACTGGTATACGAAAGCAAGCATATTTGTATACATTTATAATTATTTCAAATTAGCTAAATACCATTTCTCCTTACAAAGTAAAAAAAAAATCATAAATAATAAATAAATCTGTTTTTATTAACACTGCGCAATAATTAGTCCAGTTATTATAGCAAAAAAAATAAAATAAAAAAAATAATAAAAAATAAAGAGTTGTTTCTTAAAAAAAATTTAATACTCAAGATAATTTTTGACAAAAAGCAATGTCATGTTATTAAAAATGATACCTAAAAACTTTCCTCCGCACGCTTCCCCCCTTTTTGGGGGAAAAGGGCGTGATTTGAGGGGGAGAATTGCATTTCTTTTAGACAAGCGACAGAGCTCATTCAATTTAGCTTGACAAAATACATCGGAAAATATATCTCACTTGCCTGTCTAGAAGAAATGCAATTCTCCCACAGCATATAACTCCTTCTAAAAATGAAGATAGCTCAGGGTATAGAGCGTTCGCCTTCCAATGAGGTGAACCGGGCTCGAATCCCAGCAATGGCTGGTAGATACGAATTCCGCACCCGGCTCGCACCGACCACAGTGCTGACGTAAAATATCCTCAGTGGTAGACGGATCACGAGTTAGAGTTCCCTTGCTATCTGGCTAACCGAGGGAGGTTGTCATGGTTTTCTTCTCCATGTAACGCAAATGGGGGTTCGTTCCATCAGAAAGTCCTCCATGACGGCAAATTTCTCCCGACACTTGATCCAGGAGTTCCCTTGTCTTCTGGATTGGGTTCAAAATGACAAGGCTACGGAATTGAATTTTAGTTGTCGTAAATCCAAAAAATTGGGCCAGCTGTTCAACGACGGATACAATATCATTTACTACTTTCCAGGTATTTTTACATTAATACAGAAAATTAGGTCAAATTATCAAAAAAAGTTAATATTGCTCAATAATCATTCGGCATCACCGAAAATGAAACTATTGATTGCAGCCAACACATCTTAGTAAGATTTGTCACAATAACAATTTTTTCGTTTAATTGGCACTTTCGTGCATAACTTAATTTTTTTTCTCTATAATTATGTTCTGTGCGGAAAATAACAGAAGATATTACCATAACTTTTGTTCTAATGATCGGAATTTTAAAATATAATTATCGAAATAATTCTAATAATTAAAAGAAAAATGTTTGCTGAAAATGTACAATGTAAACACCCTGCATATGTAAAAAATGCGGCGTTGAGCAATGAATTAAAAATTCTTATTCTTTGTGTTTGTAATGCATGAAAATTAGCAATATACAATTTTGTTTCATTATAATAAAGTTTTTTTAGTTTATTTTCTTCCTAACATCCATATTTCATACATTCAATCAAGAAACATTAAGTCATTTGATCGGCTATGGTGGAAATAGATATTAAGTGTTGGTATGTTTAGTGTTAAACAATATTTTTTCATTATGATGGAAAAAGTAAAATCATTTGCACGTATTACGAAACGCTTTAATAATTTCTTTCTTTTTTTTTCGTTTGCTAATTTTCACAATTTAATAAATTGTAAGAACTTGCCTAAATATAACAACTTTAAATAAGGAGAGAAAAAAAAGATACCGAATTTAGGAAAACATGACGATTACAAAAAATTGATAAATAAAAATGATTTATTTGTCTATTCTTCGTAGAAAAGTTTTTTTTTAAAAAGGATTAAAATTTTCAAACAGAAAAATAAAATAATTTTTTTACTTTCAATAATACGTAAAAGCTATGTAATTACAAAAACTTTATGACAAATATCTAAGAATAAAATGAAAAGCAGAAATGCTTAATGGAAAACAGGAAAATTATTTGCTTTTTTCAAATTTTAATAAATTTTGCACTTACGAAAATTGTATGAAAGAGAATGACATGAAAAAAAAGCTTTCAAAAGAGAACAGTAAAATTATATACATGTTCCAAAGTTCAGTATAATTTTGTAGTTACGAAAATTGTACGAAAGAGAATGACATGAAGAAAAAAAACAGCTTTCAAAAGAGAACTGTAAAATTATATACATGTTCCAAATTTCAGTATAATTTTGCAGTTACGAAAATTGTACGAAAGAGAATGACATGAAAAAACAGCTTTCAAAAGAGAACAGTAAAATTATATACATGTTCCAAATTTCAGTATAATTTTGCAGGTTCGAAAATCGTATAAAATATATGAAATTATCAAAAAAAAAAAAAAAAAAAAATGAATCTACTCTCATTGGAGAAAGGAAAATTATTTTGCATGTTTCGAATTTCAATGAAATTTTGCAATTACGAAAATGATATGTCACACATGAAAATGGCAAAAAAATAAATAAATGGAAACTATTATCCGCGGAGAAGTAAAATTAGTTTGCAAGTTCCAAATTTTAATAAAATTTTTCAATTACGAAAATGATTTGTGACACATGAAAATGACACAAAAAATTTGTTGAGAGAGTTGCTTTCGACTATGTCAACCTTCGTCTATGAAAAGGTGTCCCGCCATAGAATGGAGCTAACATGTCTTATATACTAGTGAATTGGAATTATATTTTTGTAGTGGTAGTTACACTGCACATTTTAGCAACATTCTAGGAAGAACTGTACAGTTACAAAAATCGTATGACACACATGAGAATGACGTAACTTATAAGGGTAGAAATATTTGCGTGTTCTAAATTTTAACCCCCCTGTATATTTGTTATTGAAAAGAATTACCTTGAGCGCCGAGTAAGCGGACTCTGGTGTGAGGGTGCCATCTTCCGTGGACAGACGGACGGTCGGCTCAATCTGTTGGTTTCGATGTCTGGAATGCTACCTGGTCATTGTCCACCAAGCCGCCATTAGTGTCGCCATCAAAGTCCATAATAGTACAGGCCTTCCAGGGGCTCCCCCTGACCTGTGCTGCCCCCTTCTGGAGGCATTCCACCGCAACTGGGCAGGTGTGAGATGGCGGCATTCCGCCTCTCCAGAGTCATGCTCAAGGCCCAGATGTTGCGGACAGTAGCATCTGTTGGGCGGACCATACGACCAAGCCTCTTGGAAACTCTCCAGATCTGGAATATCCGGATCTAAACACAGCACAAAAAAGAGAAATAATATTAGTTTATCATATGGGGTGTTTCGTAATGACCACCCTTAATGGTACATAGAAAATATGGAAACTGTCAAATATTATGGGAAGTTTGAACTGAATACAAAACTACATCTTTCAAATATTTTCTAAAGTTGCGCTTTTTGATATCCGACTTTACTTCTTAGAATTAAACAGGGCCAACTTCAAAATCGCGAATAAGAAATCCCTATTTTTTATTGGAGGTTAGGACTTTCAAGAAGAAAGTATACCCCGAATCGCTTTCCTAGACAACCTTACGGCAACCTTGTTTCGGAATACTCTTTTTAGTGTCGCGAAAATGTTTGTACTAAAAACCTTTTTTCAATAAAGCAAAAATATTGCTGTTTCAAACCTTTCATCCTAAAATGATTAAAAATAATTTTTAAAGCTCTTTTTAAAAACTATTGTCACTTAGGGGTCCATCATGACGTTTCAGCTGACACACTAGCAATAGGATCAAATTGCATTGTCCATTAAAATTTCATGACAAAGGTGGATTTTAGCTGAGCGTACAAGACTTTGGGAGAAAAAAAACCTTATAATGACCTAGATTTAATATTATTTTCACCTGAAGACTAGCTTTATTCAAGGATTTTCTCACGTTTGAAAACCTTAAGACAACCTCGATTTAAGGATTTTATATAGAAGGTTGTTTTCCAAGGTTTTGGATTTGTAGGTAAGGTAATATGCGTAGAATAGAGCAGATTGTGGCAGATCTCATTTTAAGATTAGAAGGTTTACACGTAAAAACCTCACAAAAACCTTTGCAGGTTTGCATTAAAAGGTTTTTGCTGAGTGAAAATAAACCTTATTTTGAGTGAAAATAAACCTTCTTTTGAGTGAAAATAAACCTAGTCTGTAATCGTAAAATGAAAATGAGGTTTAAATTGTTTAAACTGAAGATAGGAAGAAAATCTCATCAGATCAAAAAATAATAATACGCCAGTTTAATATTCGGAAATATCAATCGAAAATGACTCCACCCGACCCCCTGAAGGTGGCAATAATCTCGAAGGTCAGTCAAGTTTGATATTGAATGAAATTTTCGAAAATATTTGATATGCGTATTTTTAGATGCGAATTCGAAACTTTTTGGACAATACTTTTTAGAAACTTTGTCAGGAGATTAATATTCAAGTCAGACAAACGGTAAAGGTATAACAACATTTTTATACTTTAATAAATCCCTATCAAGACTAATAAAATCAAAGAATAAATTTATTTATCGAATTTTTTGAAAAGGTAACTTAATGGCGTTCAATAACAAAATGAGAAGGAATTTCATTTTCACCAGACAAATAAATTGACTTTCGATAATTATAATTTTCTTTTTCTTCTTTATGGCTGCGATGGGAAAATATTTTTTGTGGTTGTTGTCCCCACTTAAATATTAATGATTGGTCGCATGCTTAAATAATAATATGCATGGCTTCAAGGACTCCAAAATTATGCATCAAGGAATGTAATTATTGAACACCCTATCTCATAGGTATAGAAATACTCATTGCCTAAATGTATGTAAATGAAATAATTAGTCACATGGCTTCGTGGATCTGTTACAAAGATTCATTAATTTAGGCATTTAAGTACCTAGATACATGAACTTTAAAAAGCCAGAGTTACCTAGATACAAAGATCTAGAGTGTAGAGTTAGAAGGGAATACCGAACCTGCAATCCGTCATCGAGCATATCTTGATATTCTTTCTTCTCGGAAATTAGCTGTAACCGACTGCAAGATACAGATATCATTTTTGTTATCGCGCACTTTTCCCAGCATATAAATATCTGTGAAATCACCAAGCTACTACTACTCAGTGTGTTATACACTTTTTTGTATTTTAATTTATTTTAAGTTAGTCACTCAGTTTTGTGACTGTATCTTTTTCCGGAAAATAAAACTTTTATTTTTATATTCTGATTGTTATCTTTGGCTCCCGCAAATGTGAGAACGTTATGCCTACAAGAGAAATCAATTTTCTTCATACGTGTGTTTAGATTATTTATCTACGTTCGTTTTTCAAACTGATTGATTGTCTTCAATTTGCGTGCCATAATAACCATTGCTACCCAATCTGCATGACATAATTTTAATGCTTAGACTGGACCGCAAGTGTATGTTGAATTGAAATTCTATTGAAAAATTATTTTGTAAAAAAATTTGCATCGCCGGCCAGGTGACCGAGCGGTCAGCGTGCCTGACAGTGAAGCCAATGGTTGTGGGTTCGAATCCCGCTCAGGGCATGGATGTTTCTCTCTGTGTGTGTTCTCTACTGTGTGAATGTGCCCCACCCTATAAACGGGTATGTGGCAGTGTGGCGTGGGTAATGTTGCTCGCCTCCGTGACTTAGGTTCACAGGTGCCCACTGGGTAACGTTAAATGAGTAACGCCTCCGGCATTTTCCTAGAAACGAAAGTTCAGTGCCTGCCGTTAAAAAAAAAAGAAAATTGCATCAGATNTCGAAACTGGGGAAAAAAACCTCTAGAAAGCTAACGAAAACCATTATAAGAAACACGGGTTCAATCAAACATTCATACTGAAAGCGCATGTACTGCAATTTCCACCAAATGGCTTAAATGAGTCAGAGGCAAAAACTACTGGCTCATGCGCTGAGCTGTGTTGGTTCGTATCGAAAAATAGGTGTCGTATAAGTTCGTTTTATTGCTGTTTCAAATAATGTATAGGATAATCTTTATTTATTATATTAATTTAATCTTTCTTTCTTTATTATAATTTTTTTATTAAATTAATCTTAATTTAATAATTTTATTTGTAAGTTTTAAAATTAAATTTGAATGACAAAACATGCTCAACACCCCTACTGCCCAAAACATACTCAACGCCCCCCTACTGCCCAAAACAAGTTCACCGCCCCTCAGCATAGTCCCACTGCCCCCAGGGGGCCGGTATCGCCCCCGTTGAGAACCAATGATCTAGAGTGTAGAGTTCGCTAGATCGAAGGGAATACCGAACCTGCAATCCGTCATCGAGCACATCTTGATATTCTTTCTTCTCGGAAATTAGCTGTAACCGACTGCAAGATACAGATATCATTTTTGTTATCGCGCACTTTTCCCAGCATATAAATATCTGTGAAATCACCAAGCTACTACTACTACTACCCAGTGTGTTATACACTTTTTTGTATTTTAATTTATTTTAAGTTAGTCACTCAGTTTTGTGACTGTATCTTTTTCCGGAAAATAAAACTTTTACTTTTACATTCTGATTGTTATCTTTGGTTCCCGCAAATGTGAGAACGTTATGCCTACAAGAGAAATCAATTTTCTTCATACGTGTGTTTAGATTATTTATCTACGTTCGTTTTTCAAACTGATTGATTGTCTTCAATTTGCGTGCCATACACTGTACCTAATATGCATGACATCAAAATTCCATAATTTTGATGCTTAGACTGGACCGTAAGTGTATGTTGAATTGAAATTCTATTGAAAAATTATTTTGTAAAAAATTTTGCATCGCCGGTCAAGCGGTCAGCGTGCCTGACTGTGAAGCCAATGGTTGTGGGTTCGAATCCCGCTCAGGGCATGGATGTTTTTCTCTGTGTGTGTTGTTGTTAATTTACGTCGCACTAGAGCTGCACAATGGGCTATTGGCGACGGTCTGGGAAACATTCCTGAGGATGATCCGAAGACATGCCATCACAATTTTGATCCTCTGCAGAGGGGATGGCACCCCTGCTTCGGTAACCCGACGACCTGCGCGCGAAGTTTTTTTTTAATGGCGGGCACTTGGGATGTATTGTCCCATTGGCCTCATATGCCAGGACTGCTACTCTCTTCTCGTTACCCAGTGGGCACCTGCGGCGAAGCCACGGCGGTGGAGCAGCGTCGCTCATGTCACACAATCACAAACCCGTTTATAGGGCGGGTCACATTCACACAATCACACACACAAAGGAGTAAGGACATCGAACACACACACACACAGAGAGAGAGAGAGAGAGAGAGGGAGAGAAAGAAACATCCATGCCCTGAACGGGATTCGAACCCGCAACTGTGTCTAACATAATAGAGAGAATTAGTACCAACGTGTTTACGTACGTATATTCCGAGCAGCGTTGTTATTACAGCACAATCACGGTTATCTGCAGAAGTTGCGTCAAACATATGCACGTGAACGTTTGCTGCGTGCAATCTCTAATTTCTCTATTATCGTGTAAGAATATGTTTTGTTTACACCGTTTGGGACATATGTTTAAAAAAAACTTGTAGTCGTAAACCCAAAAAATTAGGTCGGCTGTTCAACGACGGTTATAAAAAATTAAATAAATAACTCGCTCGATCCAGAGACTTCTCAATCTGATTTTGAAAAAAAAAAAACAAACAAAAAAAAACAATGGAATTTCATAAACTGAACATTTCTGTAATCTTTTAATTTCGAATAGAATGCTTTATTTTATTTTGCGTGCATTTTGATTAAAACTGATTATGTTTGCATTACAAAGATTTATTCCCAGGAAGAAAATGTAGACACATTTTCATTTGAATATGAAGCACCTTGTATTGAAGTTTATACTATCTTCCGATACTTATAGGTTTCTTAAATAATCCATAATTGAAAGTGCAAATAATAATTTGTGTTAATTTTTGAATAGAATTCTACAACTCATAAAAATGTAAATGGCGAGATAGTCGATAGGTGAAAATCACTCAGAAGAATAAATATCTAATTGATATTTGTTAGCAAAATGCAAACGATTTTAAATTAAAAGCGAATCGCAGCTGCCACCATTTTTTTAATCGCCAACACATGTTTTTTTTTCTTTCTTTCAAGGAGTGGCTCCAATTCAGTAAGTTGATGCTTTGATATTATTACTAAAGATTGAACCCACAGTCATCAGCAAAAGATTTGTAACAAAATTAAAGTTCTTTGATTTGTGTTGAATTTGTCGTACACGAATAATCATGCTTTTGCTTCGTAAAGCTTTGTTCGACTTTCTTTAAATGTTGTTTCTTAGCTGTTGATTTTTGATTATACTCTGTGCCACTTCTTTAAAAATGGAAGTTCCTTTTGGAATTGTTCCTTTGAATATATAATTGATGGACTCATGAAAATTGTGGCAATGATGCCACCAAAAATTTAATATTTCAAAAGAGTTATCAATTTTGATGCATGTTGTTTTTAAACTCGAAAAAGTTTTGATCCTTTTATTGTTTAGTTTATAGCCATTACGTTCTTTTTTCTTTCGGAAAGTGTTGTGTATTTCAAGCATGTGATTTTTAAGAAGTTTTGAACTTTTGGAGTGGTTATTTCAAAAGCAGAAAATTATTTCTCTACTTCGTTGTTTCGCAGATGAACGGTGTAAGTTCTACTTATTTTGTTTTCTAGCATATAAGCTTTCATATTAAGGAATAAATTAGTATTTGTGATCTAAGGTTAATTCGAATAAGTTAGTGTTTTAATTAGAATATGCTTGTGTTTTCAAATTGATGATTAAAGAAAATTGATATATTATGAATTTATTTTCATTGTTTATTTTCGAATTTTTTATGTCTGTTTTTTGTTTAAAGGTTTTTTCGTTTTCAAATACTTATTGGGTGTTTATTTTCGATTGCCTAGTTAATGCTGTTTCATTTTGATCATATATTGTTTAGTTTTCTCTTCATTTTTGTAATTATGCACCTCAATCAACAATATTTTTTTTCAAAGTTTAAATATTTTTAGATCGATTGATTTTGTAAAGCAATGAATTGTTTGGCACACTTTTTATTATTTTAGGCTTTAATCACTAACAACCGAATTTCAATTTTTAAATGGTGATTAATTATAAAAAGTTTTGAGGTATTTAAGTGTAAAATAAAACCTCAGAGCTTTTTAATACTTGAATTGAAAAATCAAGAAAAATACATGCTCATAAAATCGCGAATGAACATTTTAAAATGCATTTATAATTATGCAGTATTTACTATAAAGAAAAATTTTAAATTTAAAAGTTATAGCAGAATTATTTTTTTTAACAACTCGGTTTGCTTTACTATTTCGGCTACTGCTTAGAATTTACTAATATTAAAACTTCATTGTGAAAAATTAGTACTTTATGATTTACAATTAAATTATAACAGTTTGCTTTAATAAAATTTTTTTTAATGAAAACAAAAGGGTCATTTATAATTTCTAAAAAGCTTCTTATTTCCCACAATAGATTTTTTGTGTGCCGGTAACAGATGATTAAAAAAACTAAATGACAAACGCTGTTCATTTCTCACAAAACTGTGGCGTTTCGTCATATATTTTGTGCCATTTTCAGAATTAAAGAAGAGAAAATTGACTGGATAAGATAAAATTGCCTTAACAGTCATGAATAACTGTTGCAAAATCACAACAGTTATGAAAATAGGATTTTTTTTTTGCAAATAAATGTCATTTTATGTAGCCACAGAGCTTTCGAAAAACAGCCTTAAACGTGTCTCTTAAAAATTTTCTTCCAAAGTAAACATTTTTATGATAATTAGTCATCATTTCATTACTCAATTAGTTAATAATTTTGTCCAATGATAGCAACAAACAAAAGTTAAGGCATCTGCGTCATAAGTAATTGAAAACCAATGTCTTATCTTATTTCCAACTTTATATTCAATGATATTAATGTTAAAATCAATTCTAATTTAACGTTTTACATCACACCAACTATTAAGGTTAAATTTTAAGGTACTGAAGGGCAGTTTGCCTAACGTTTATCACTAAAAATTTGGCAGCTTTGCAAAAGAGGTAAATCGAAACCATATGCGAGATTAAATAATCTTTTCTATCCAAGAAATCGGAAAAGCGTGAGTTTCCTCATCTCATTTACATTCGTAAAAAAGCAAATAAAGACAAATCCATTTTTGGCGAGGAATGTTTCAAAGGCATATAGTTCTTGATAAGGATTAGTTTTTTTTTAACCAATTTAATTATGAAAAGAGTATTTATATTTTATAAAAGAAATAGTTTTTACAAGCGATATCCCATTAGTTGTAGATAGTCTTATTGCTATATAATAGTAATGTTAAAAAGTAAACATTGTATCAGCTTTACCACCTAATTTGTATTTGTGCCAAAATATGCTTTTTTACTCGATATTTTAGAAACTTTTTTTTTTTAAATTCCAAAAGTTTTTCTTAAATCTTAAATTCATAGCTTAAATTTATATACCAAAAATTTTATGACCTAGAAAAATACATAAGCATTCGAATTTCGAATTTTTGCGCTATCTATTACCTTTTTTGCGTATTTCTCTACGCGTCAAGATTTTTTTTAAATAAATCGAAAATTTTTTGCACACATCATACAATTTGTTTACCTAAAAATAATTCTGTGAAAAAGAGGTGCTTTTGATAATTTTTTTTTATTATTCTACTTGAAAATAGTCGAAAATTTTTGAATTGTAAGGTGAACATATTTTTAAATCATTTTAAAGTATGTAATTTTTAAATGACAAAATACAGAATTTAAATGAATTCGGTTGAAAAGTTCTCGAGAAATCAGCATTTAAATATTCTACTTTTTTTTAAAAATAAACTCAGTTTTGGATTTTTTCTCAGAAACTAGACGGCTAGTTTCGTTCAAATTTTGTATTTTGTTATTTAAAATTGTGTGCTTTAAGGTGATTTACAAACTAGTATATATTATAACTCGAAATGGATAGAACTATTCTGCATAATTGAATTTTATAGAATTGTGTACAAAAATGTTTCGACTCCCTAAAAAGTCCTTTTATGGTAGCGGAAATAAGCAAGAAATTAGATTAAGATTAAGAGGTCTCAACTTTCGACCGCTCTCCTGCTTAAGACATTGAGACAATTTTTTTTCCAGAGATAGCGGTTACCTTGCCTTCTACGCATTTTGATAGTCGAGATTCCAATTTCGTCGAAAAAAATAGTATCAAATGAATATAAAAGACAAAAAAAATTTACTTGTAACTGCAACCAAATTTAACTTTAAACTGGTCCGATTCGTAAACTTAGGATGTTTCATTTTTAATCAACTTGTTAATTGTCTATTTATTTTCTATAACTTTGCTTCGACCCTTGCCTGTAACACTTGCATTTTTTTTTTGTCAGTTGGTGAATTCTTGCTTATTTTTGGATTTTGATATTTAGCTTTTTCGAATGATTTAAATAATGTATTGCGCAGATAGAAGGCAAGGCAGAAAAGGAAATTATCACAAAAAATTACGTATCTACTGGAAAATTATCTAGCATATGATTGCTTCTTGATATTAATTGTAAATGTTGGATGTACAGAAATAATATGTGACTGACGTTGCTGATGTAGCCCATCAGATAAATGAATGTTTAAAAAGAAAAAAATAAATAAATAGAGTTGATCAAATCAGATCTTTCATATGATCCTACCTTTCCACACCACATCTTTAATACATGTTAAGTGAAAGACAAAGAATAGTTCGAATCCTGCATCTGAGAAATTGTCTAATATGAGTTTTTATAATTGGATATCAGCAAATGACGTCATCGTGGGTATCGATCCTAATTCGCTGTTGAAGTGGGGCATTTCTTTATGTTAGCAACTGTTTTTTTTTCCATTCTATTTCGAGTCGCCAAATACGAATTTGATAATTGATATCGATATCGATTATCGTATTCTGCGATAATCTCGTAACTAATGAAATCTTGTAAATTAAGAATTATAAAATTAATATTTAGCAAAACAATAGAAATGAGCTATTAATTTTCATTTATTAAGGAAAAGAATCCGTCAATCAAGTAAGCCTCACGTTAATCCGCCATCTTTTTTTATAAAAAACCAACTGTCGCTGAGGTTATGGTTTTGGCTTCACGAGTTGAGAGTATCTCATTGTATTCCTTCTTTATCTATTACTGTTTATATCAATTGGGTATAATATGAAAAAAACACAACTACTTCGATTTAGTAGGAACAACATATGACGCAATGCTAAACGAATGGAATTTAGTTGTTGTTTATTTAGTTATTGTTATTAGTAGTTGTTGTTNATGTACAGAAATAATATGTGACTGACGTTGCTGATGTAGCCCATCAGATAAATGAATGTTTAAAAAGAAAAAAATAAATAAATAGAGTTGATCAAATCAGATCTTTCATATGATCCTACTTTTCCACACCACATCTTTAATACATGTTAAGTGAAAGACAAAGAATAGTTCGAATCGTGCATTTGAGAAATTGTCTAATATCAATTTTTATAATTGGATAACAGCAAATGACGTCATCGTGGGTATCGATCCTAATTGGCTGTTGAAGTGTGGCATTTGTTTACGTTAGAAACTGTTTTTTCCATTCTATTTCGAGTCGCCAAATATGAATTTGATAATTGATCTCGATATCGATTATCGTATTCTGCGATAATCTCGTAACTAATGAAATCTTGTAAATTAAGAATTATAAAATTAATATTTAGCAAAACAATAGAAATGAGCTATTAATTTTCATTTATTAATGAAAAGAATCCGTCAATCAAGTAAGCCTCACGTTAATCCGCCATCTTTTTATAAAAAACCAACTGGCGCTGAGGTTATGGTTTTGCTTCTTCACGAGTTGAGAGTATCTCATTATATTCTTTCTTTATCTATATTACTGTTTATATCAATTGAATTAATCAGCCTATACTTCAAAAAATAAAATTAAAAGCACATAATTAAATATCAACTGCTTAATCTTATCAATACTTTATCACTTTCCTCTATGTTGTACGTTAGGTGTGAACATCTGCATTTTGTCTGTTTTTTGGCATTCCATTTTATTGTTCCTGACGGACATGCAGGCAGGGATATAACACACATTTAATATCATTAAATAAATTGAAAAGAATTATCAAAATTTTCATATTAATCCACGATGAATTTTATAACATTTTGATAAAATGAACACAATTGTTTAAAATTAAAATAACTGTTTTCTAAATCAAAGAATGATAAGTGAAAAAAATAACAAAACAAACATGTTATTCTTATTAGTCTTCAAATTGTAATCAAGCTTCATTACTCTTAAGAAGAGTTATGCTAATTTTGATAATGCACAACAAATTTGATAACATTTCATTAAAATTTATAGTCATTTTAGATTAATACAACTGTTTCATAATTCAAAAATGTAATCAATCTGAAATAATAGTTACTTACTTCATCAAGTATTGTTTCGCTTTCAAATATTTTCGTACAACTAATTGAACAAAGATAGGATTCAAAAAAAATATTTACAATCATTAACTTTAACCAAGCATTATAATACTTAAGAATGTTATGTAAGTTTTGATGGCACATCTACAATAAATCTGATAACATTTTAATAATATTGTCGTATTAAAATAAAATAACTTTACTTTAACCAATGTCTGAAATTATTGTTAATTACAGTCAGCGAGTTCTAATCAGGCATCTCACTTGTAACTTGTATAAGCATTGTATAAGCATTATCCGACCTTGTATAAGCATTATCCGACTATTATTTTAAAAATAATCAAGTATATTTTGACAATACATCCACACAAAGTGGTATAGAATTTCAATAAAATTAATGCATTCATAATAATTTGAACCTTTTTAACTATAACTATATTATATTAACTTGTTTCGTAAATCAAAAGAAGACACTTAAAGAAGGTTTCAAGAATTTTTAATTTGTCTCTTAATATCATGAAACTGAAAGCTAGTTGAAAAAAACCTTATTCAGAATGTAATCACTAAGGCCCGGATTTTGATGACATTTGTATTTTTTTTTGCATTTTTTGCATTTTTGGACATTTTTTGTCCTTTAGAGCATTTTNGACAGCCCATAGAGGGCCAAGGCCTACTGTGCCCATCTCAGTTTTCTTGACCTTGGGCTCTGGGGTGCCGGAGCAGATGTTCCGGTTGGAAGATCAATGGAACATCCAGTGCTTAGTCCCCTAGCACGCTTGTTTTAATCGTGCAATTATTAGAATTTATATTCACTGAATATTCATGAAAAAAAAGTTATACATATGCGTTATATATGTTAATATCAATCTATGAAATTCGGTATTCCTGCCTCGTCTTCATATAGAATGAACCAAATTAACAGAAAAGATTGCAATAATTAATATTTCTCACATTCTCTATAGGCATTCGATTGATTAATAAATAGCAAACCAGTAAAGAGGAACATTATTTTTATTTTTACACATTGTCTAGGCATTCTAAACGACCGGGTAAATTATATGATAATTCTCATATTTCTCATTTATATACCACGACTAGACATTTTACAGAAAGCCATTGTTTCATATATCGACAGTAATTGTAGGGTGTTCCAGCGGATGAATTAATGATTTCAAAATTAAATATCTCGGAAATCAAAGGGGGAGATTTCCGTATCGTGATCTGTGGCAGAATAATCACCCAAGTCTTGGCAACTTCCGGGCAGCTGCCCACTAGAAACTAAAAAAAAAAGAAAAAAAAACATCATAGAAAGGGGCCAACTCTAAAGGTATAACAAGTAGCCACATCCGGTAAAACATCTACATGTTTTTTTAAAATTTTGTTTTTGAAGTTGCAAGTTTAAATTCTATTTGGCCCCTCGGCGATTGTAGTTGGCCCGACAGATCAAGATACGGAAATATCCCCAATAAAAGGCGATAGAGGAATGAAACAAATGGTATGTATATTAAACATGATAATAATTTCATAACACTAATGGTATGTCTATTATTATTATGAAAGAACATTAGAACTAATCGCTCTGATCATGGATGGCTTGCAGAGCGATCTGTTAGTGATTTTTGTAACTACATTCCAAAATTGCCTTTGGTTTCATCAATATAGACATACCGATTGTTTCATTCCTGCTTCAGAGATTTTTGGTTTTGAAATATGCCACCTGCATAATAATAAAATATGACTCACCTATGCACTTGAATACCCGTTCACCCGCGTACTGATCCTTGACGCTAGGGTGAAAATAAGGACATTTTTGTTCCACTAGGCGGCAGATATACCGACAGGGTTTCAAACCCTCACCCTCCACCAGTAACTCAGGCAGGTACATAGCGCACACCCACTGTTTATAGGCCTCCTGCAAAAAATAATGCATTCAAAATCATTCGAAATTAAATATACACAATAATATACACTAAAAAATAATACTATTTTTTTCCTCCATTTGGCAATTAGGTGCTTATTACATGAAATTCAATACAAAACGACATTTAAAATCGTCACAAATATTAAAAATAGGAAAAAGCTAAAAGAGAATAAATTTTTGACTCTATCAACCTTCATCTATCAAAAGGTACCTCTTGAGAAAAATCAAGTTAACATGTCTTATATACTAGTGAATTGGTATTTAATATTTATAGTGGTAGTTACGCCACAACCTAAACGTGTTTCAGTATCATTTGCGTGAACCTTCATCCACAGTAAATGCACTCAATTAGTGTGACATAATCTCTGCCAAATTATATCGTCTCTGTTTTGCCATTTCTTCTACTGATGAAGGTTAAATTTAAGGAAAACCCATGTGGGTTTTCCATAAATTTAACTATTTGTGATTTTAAATGTCGCTTTTTGTTTAATTTCAATTCTATTATAGAGGATCACCCGTTATTTTTTAGAATTTTTGTTAAGCTCTTAACATCTTTCCAGTTCGATTCTCAGGGATAATATTAGGAAATGGTGCGATACTAGAAAAATCATTAAATTCTTAAAATATTTCGCACAGCCCCTAGCCAAATTATTAGACGGACTGTAAGATTCTATGTAAAATCTTAATTATCACGTGATACTATACAGCTTTACTGTTTTTATGTGACTGTTTGCATTTGTTTACGTTCGTGTATCCATGGGTTAAATTAGACGATATATCATATAAATTTGACGATTGGAGACGATATATTGGATAAATACAGAATATTTATTACATCAAGCATTATATTTGTATATTATAATAATTAGATCAAATTATTAGACACACTGTAGTTTTTTAATGATATGATTTGCACGAGTTTATAGGCAATACTTTTATATTTAAACATGCATGTAATGGGTTATTATTCAGGAGATTATTTAAATACTTCTTATTTGTATTTATTTTTAACATATTGCATTACAATGTTAACCCATTGATATACGAACGTAAACAAATGCAAACCGGTTTCAGTCAAATGAAAACAATACAGCTGTATAGTATCACCTGATAATTATAATTTTACATAGAATCTTGTAGTGCTTCTAATAATAGGACTGTAAGTATAGAATGCTTCCCAAAAATCAAGATTGGAAGTTGAAGAGCAGTGTTGAGTGATTTCAGCCGAAGAAAACTCAATCCTGTGACTTGAATTCCAATTTAGAGCGATAGAGGATTGGTTAATATACTAATTTTGGACATATCTGGTCATATCTTTCGTGCTAAGTCGAAGTTTAAGGGTACGTTTAGTGTTTCCAATGTAAGCATAACCACATTGACATGAAATCTGATAAATGCCCCAAATATTAATATTTTCAATTAAATCATTAAGAGAGGTAAAATTTAATTTATTTACAGGGGAAGAGACTTAAACTCAAATTTCTTCAAAATCTTGACGAGTTGGCAAATTATTTTCAGATAATAAGGTAAAGCAATCAAATTATTAAAGCTTGAAATAGAGAGTTAGGTGGGTTGAAAGGTTAATTTTCTATAGATAGAATCCGTAACATTAGAGAAAAAAACCGCGGTCTAAAATGATAGCTTTAAAGCAGTGGTTACCAACTGGCCGGCCGCATCCGGCCCTCGAAGCCTTTTTTTGTGGCCCTCGAACTATAAAATCTAAAAGTTGTCATTTTTTGCGGACAAATTTCGTAAAAAATCTATATGGGATTAAAATACTTTTCTTTCGTTAAAAAACCTAATTTCTTCGTTTCTGTGATATTTAACGTACAAACGGAGCAAAAAAAAAAAATTTATTTTTCAGGTTTTGCATCAAAGAAAATATTTATTCAAATACAAAACAATCGTGTATGTTGCTTAAAACCCTACTTCTAATTTAAATTTGTAATTCAGTACGTTTGTTTTGTACAACTTAATAAAAATCTGACAGTAATATTTAATGTTCCTTCAAACATAAAAGAGTTCTATATAAAATTTTGATAAAGTTGCGGCCCGCCATTTGACTGGTGTTTTTAGTTGCGGCTCCCGGCCTCATGTAAGTTTGAAACCCCTGCTTTAAAGCAAAGGAATTCATTGAGAAGATAGTAATCTTCATAGTAATCTTCATTGATCCATAGTAATCTTCCATAGTATCCATAGTAATCTTCATTGAGAAAATTACTATGGATACTTACTATTATCTTTACTGATAATAGTATTTACTGATAGTATTTACTGATAATTTATCAGTTTAGGAGCGGGGTAAACAAATGTACGTAAGGCACCTATCTTTTGGTTGAGGAATGGGGTGAAAGGTTATGAGTGGGGAGTGAAAAATTATGCAACAGTGAAAATTATCGGAATTACAAGTAATAGAGCCGTGATAACTCAGGGGATAGAGCATCCGCCTTCCAACGAGGTGAATCGGGTTCGAATTCTACCAATGGCTGGTCGATACGAATCCGCATCTGGCTTGCACCGACCACAGTGCTGACGTGAAATATCCTCAGTGGTAGACTGATCACGCGTTAGCGTCCCTTTGCCGTTAGGCTCACCTTGGGAAGTTCACGTGGTCTCCCTCTCCATGTAACGCAAATGCGGATTAGTTCCATCAAAAAGTCTCCCACGAAGGTAAAATTTCTCCCAATACATTATCCAGGAGTTCCCTTGTCTCCTGGATTGGGTTAAAAATTACAAGGTTACCGGGAAGAAGAACTCCATTAGAAGTCGTAAACTCAAAATTTGGGTCGGCTGTTCAACGACGGTTATAAAATATATAATAAAGTAAGTAATAAGAACGTCTAAAAAAGTTTTATTATTTTCTTGCTCATATATGGACGATTGTTTAACGTTGATGGACAAAGCTGTCATTGATCATGTACTTCAAATCATGATATAGATCTAGTTCCTTCCTTACAATTTAAGTTTGAATAGAAAAATAACAAACTCAAACCTGGATTTAGAGAACACGAAAGAAATATCTCTACGTAGAGCTATTGCTCTACGTAGTTGGAATTTCAATTACAGATATGAGCTTTCTTCTACGCTAAAATCATTCAACGCTGCTCTTAATCTACCAAACTTGATTTTTGGGAGTCATTCCATATTTTGAAAAATTGTAGTTAATTATCTTTCTTGGATACCACCATTTCTAATATTTGGAAGTCTATTTTAATTTAATACGTTGCATCCTGTGATTCTCACCAAATGTTCTCACACTTTTTCCTTATCTGTCTTTTTTATTACCTTGTTCTAACTTGTTCTTGCTCCTAGAACCATCAAAATTTGTTTGATTGCAGAAGGTTGAATTTTGATAGGCTGTAAAAAGCGACTTTCAAGTTTTATGAAAAAGTCAGATTATTTTTGTTGTTTTTAATACTGCTTTCCTCATTTTGAGAGAGTCAGATTTTCATCATAATTCTTGGTACCGTTGTCACTTGAACTTTAATTTATGATCACTAACGTGATTATTATTTTCTTTTACTTCATTTATGAAAAAGATTCTAAAATTAGGACATTGAGGACGGTGATTATGAAACATTCTTTCAAGACCTTTTTAAATTACATTTATCGAAAAAATAGCGATAAATAGCATAGGCTTGCTACCACTGGAAGTAATCTTCAGTGAAATGAGTAAAAGTTTGAGGCCGTGATAATATACTAATTGTACAACAAAATAGTTAAAATATTGAATCAAAATTATATTCAAAATAACACGTTTGGCAGTGTCGCTGAATGTTGTTATTTTCTCCATATTTTTATGTACTTATAATCACCAATTCGCTGGTTCAAAGTTAAAACGACACTTCTGCACTCACTTCTCATTCAAATAACATGAGAAGTGAGTGCAGAAGTGTCGTTTTAACTTTGAACCAGCGAATTGTTAGTATCTATGTTTTCATACATATGTTACCTCTACATCTTGGAACCGTTAGTATGCAGCACATCATTTAAGCTAATCTGGAGATTTACTATAGGGTAAACCGTTAAGGCGCGGAACAAAGTGCACATTAACGGTGCATTAATATGAGCAATGTATAAGTTCAAAAGTTTGTATCGCTTATTTCATTAAATAGTTTTAGAAGCATAAAATTAACTGAAGTTTGTAACCATGATATCATTTTGAAAGCAATGTGTTTTATCTTTAGCTATACATCTCAAACTCAAATTCAAAATTTATAAAGCAATTTGTATAAAAATATGAATCTTGTTTAGTAAAGCAAATCTAGAATTTAACTTATAAATTCATTAAGTATTTTTTTTTGGAATATCAATATTGAGTAGTTATATAAATTAAATTGAAATTATAAGATATGCAACTTAAATTTAAAATTGAAAAGAGAGCACAAGCAGCAGCAAAAATAGTTTTAAAGGATTGCGAATCATAGCCACTTCTACAATTTCATAATAATTTTAGAGAAAAAAGAAACTTATATAGAAATGCGCGCCTAAAGCAAAAAATATCTACAAAATAAAAAAAAATATGAAATTAATTTATTTACGTGACAAAATTTCAATTTAATATTCATAAAATTGTTTTTGATGAATAAACTTAACTAAGGTCATAAACTTGATATCAATTTTGAAAAAATATGTTTCTTATATAACATATATATTAAATGAAATTCGAAATTTATAAAACTAGTATAGGGGTTTGAATTTTATTACATTAACTCGAATTTAACTCTAAGATTAATTAAATAATTTTTTTAATGAATTTGGACGTTGTTAAATTATATAATTAAAATTAATCATGAATTGTAAAATCATTCTTAAAGAAATATGCTTTATATTTAGCTATATATTTATCTAAAACTATTTGCAGAGAGTGTAAATCTTGTCTAGTTATACAAACTATAACTTGACTTAGTTTCTCATTATAGAAGTTTTAGATGAATATGATTATTAATTATTTTTTATTAATTATTTTTTATAAATTAAAATTAAAATAT